AAAATGTATTGATACGTAATGTGTATGGGTAATCAAAACTATTGACATTTTTCAAAAGTTAAATTCATGTATGATGTACTATTTTTAGCCATGGTGTCCATGACAATATGATCACAAATCTATAATAAGGATGCTGATCATATCCGAGGGTACATTAATACAAGTGACAAGGAACGTATGCACGTCTCCTGTAGTTGATGGGGTAGACGTGATGGCTCGGAATGATAACGAATATAGATGTCACACTCTCACTCTCACTCTCTGAACAAGAACAACAGTTTACTGTACGTTTGCTGTAAACATTTCGATCTACTATTTCCTGTCCAGTGTCACTCAACTGGTGATATGTAGTTGACAGCTGTTCCGGGGTCATCACGCACTGGACGGGCGTGTGGTGGACCTCCTGGAACGTGACCTGCGGCAGGGAAACAGTCTGCCAAAACAGGCATTGCAGAATTCCTTGCTTGTCCTTGGTTGATGGATGGTGGTTCGCTTCTGTTGATGTCGTCCTCTAGAATTTCACAATACCCATGGTACTCAACTGCATGACTGTCTTTGTATCCACCCACAATGTTTACTGCAGGGTTGTCTGCCTGGACGCCCCTGCTGTGATAATATATAGTATAAATACTTACAGCATGTGGACCATACAGGAATGTCACGCGCAAAGTAATGTTTACAAGATGAACCAATTCGTTTTTAATATGTTCATATTAATCCTGATCAGTTGCCATATCGCACATAATGATTGTCAAACTTCTTTAACAGAAACCAGATTCATTTATCTTACCACCGTAACATTTTACATTTATAAAAAAAATGTTAATTTACCAATATTTTTATTGTACAATCGTAGTTTGTAGAAGTCATAGCGCTGAAGTTAACATCCATTTAGAACATTTGGAAAAAAACATGTTATACATTTTCATTTCAGATATTTGCTAAATAACATCTTAACCAATATATATGCAAAGTCATTTAAGTTAATCCAGATTTAATTCAGTGCCAGTTGTATGTGTAAATAGTCAATGCCGTAATATACTGACTGCTTTAGTCCAGTGATCTTATCGGTACTATCCCAACCGAGTTGAACACATTTATTGTTACAATAATATATCTTGTTTATGTTTTGACAATATTTAACAGGGACGCTGTTGTTTTACAATCGGCGGTTTGGGCACTACAAACACTACACGGGGACGGGGGCAGTATATCCACCTAGGAACACAGAGCTATCTCATTGCTTCTGTAATGATCTTACCGTTCAATTCCCATGGATTTCCGAAAGTGATAGCACACTGCCAGTAAGATCATTAATATTAGAAGTGATGCTGCTGTGGGTAGTCCTATTTTCACGGCATCAGTGACTTGAGTTTTCCAATCTGAAAGATATAAATACCCGTGCGTTTCTTTACCAACATGATTTTGAAAACCAGCATAGAACATTGCTATTCTTTTGATCGTACTCAAGTTTTGGGAATATATGTATGTGACATATCCCAAACCTGGATTCATCTATGAACAGTAAACTGTCCCACGGTTGCCTTCTAAACCCCTGATGCTGCCTGATGGTGACGTGGCAACACAATTGGGTGTATCGCTGGACCGCGGGGCCGGATGTTGTGCTACCTCAACCGTTAAAGGGACCAAAACGAGGGAACAAAATGCTCCCAAACAAACACGTACTCATCCAAATCGTGCGTCGTGCAGTAAAACGCACGTGCAAATTGGGAATGATTACCTTAAAGTCGAGGATATGACATCATGAATATGTATTGAAAGTATTACTTAAGTTCAGAACTTTAGTTTTTTTGGAACTTCATTTGAAGAAAAGTTACTTTTCCCCGATATCATGTTAAAACGAAGTTCGAGAAATATCCAATCAATATATTATAATGATAATCCATAATGTCATATTTGATCCGTTCCACCAGGAAATTCTTCAAGAAATACTTTTGTTGACAATGGGTCAATCACTGGATCAGTGTACATCAATTACTTGATGAGTTGCACCTGCAGAATGTTTGACAATACAACTATTGAAAACAGTGACAACAAATTTAGACTTACCTTTATGGGAGCATAGTGAACCAGACCAGCCATCTTCACATCCATAGATGCAATCTCCAGTCTGCTCGTTGCATTCAGAAATATCAGATGTTTTGTTGACATGAGTGCGGTTTGCCCGACAGTTTTTACTGCAATTCTTACTACAGAACATGCCATGAAATCCAGGTACACATCCATGGAGACATCCAAAGTCACATGGTTCCTTGCAGCGATCACATGAATACTCACAGTTCAGGCCGAAATATGGCGGACGACACTCAGTACATGTTCCTGATCTCTTGTTGCATGATCTACATCTACCTGAACATGTCTTGCAGTCAGTGCCGTAGTATCCATCAATGCATCCAGACACACAGGAGGAGCCCAGCTGACAATATCCTCCATCACAACCACCTGGACAAGCCGTACATTCACTGACTGAACTGTCACATGGTATGAGGCACCTACTTCCTTGGTATCCAGGTGCACATCCTTCGGTACAGACGCCAATGCCAATCGTTGACGTGTGACACATGCCTTTTTTGCACTCCTTGCTGCAAACGGAGCTGCACTTCAGGTCGAAATATCCAAGGTCACACTCTTTGAGGCAATGTCCCGTATTGTTATCACAGTCTGAGCAGTGCTGCCCTTCTCCGCATGGTGAAGCTGGAAGAGATTTGTCAATAAAGATTGTACATCTGTACCTGTGATAGTTATGTCAATAGCCATGATGTAATGTAAACAATAGCATAAACTAATAACATTGTTATGCAATACAGGATAATGTATTAACTGGACTTACCTTGTACGGACATAACAATACCAGCGATTGCCAACAGCTTTTCTGTTTTCATATTTTCTGAAATAACAAATAGAATAAGAACTTGTGCAATAAGACACACACACAAAGCACAGGGGAATAAGGCAGCATATAAACACTGTGCAACGTAACACACGAACATCAGTGAAGTGACCTAATATCTGCGCTCAGTTTCAAGAAACACGGGTTTATTTTTTGTGCCTACTTTCATATTCCATGTCACCAGGAAAACACAACACAGCTTGTTTCGGTGATCATTCGAGTGCAGCAGGAAACATTTACCTGCAGTAATTTGTGAACATAACTTGAGTGAAAAGCCATTTTGTTTTGACGTATGTATAGTTTCAGTTGGGACTAAATAAAATCCCCATGTCGGGTGATCAGGTTCTGAGATGTGGCATACGTCACATGCATGGAATGATTCTCATGTTGTTGACGTTGTGAGATAGCTACGCAATAAATCGAAAAGAAGAATGAAGAACAACGATAAAACATTGTACTATCATGACATCATTTCCGGAGATTTGAATGACGTCATATACTGTAAATCTTGAAATTAATGCGTCTCCAAGTTAATACGACTGCTGACCCCAAATATGCGACTCAATATCAATGTGACTCCCCGCACTCAAATCACCAGCACATATCCTTACCTTTATCCACATTTACCTTAATCCAATCAAACATCAAATAGCACCACCTATTAACGCCAAGTAAAAACAATAAACAGAAACAACACACGGTGTATATGGTTATTCTGTTGACTTGAATTAAGGAAGTTCAAAGGCTATACAATAATTGAGCCAACAACGGTTCGCTGACTGGAATGCGGATAAAGTGCCAACAAACTTGAAGGCAGATGACAAGACAAAGGCTGTAGATCTGAGGAGTGTGATGAAGCCTATCAGTGCGTGCTGGGTTGCGTCGGCTTTTTACGAAGTGTTGCATTGGTGGCGTCTCTCTGGACTGCAGGGGTGTTCAATGATGTCCTGTTTGACACGAGTGGTTAGAATTCTTAACCACAGCAGTGATAACTCACAAGATGCCTATTGTGTAATTGCTGTTCTTTGAATGACATTGTTATTCACTTGTCGTAAATGCTGCTTAGTAAACCGTGTTTATATTTATATCCAAGTTGGTATTTACGCTATTGAAAGAGAGCAGTGAGGCACTTATTGTTCACTCTCACGTTAATTCTAAGATGTACTGTTTTGGAAGACGTTAGTTTTTAGATCGGTTCGCAGATATACCCAGTGACCGAACGATCCCATCCAAAGTAGGATATAAATGACAATTGGTAACAGGGGAAAAGGTACAGATAATCGGCCTGAGGATCGTAAGAATATGGGGGAAATACCATATTTAAAATGGAATTGTTCGACTTTTCCGAGGTCGGATTCTATTCAGGGAGTCAGTATTATTACAGTCTTTTAAAAATCTTGCAGATTTTGTCAACATCCATAAAGAGGTTGAACATTATGTTGAAATATCAAATAAGAAATAAACAACTTGTGGTTGTTGTTTATGGTACTAGTGTATCAACAAACACCCCCGCACACGACGACGTCTACAGAACGACTGTTGTAACTGACGCCACAATATACATTATTAACCAGGTGGCGTTACTAAGTGACGTGTTTTCAGTGCTCTCAATGTGCACGTAGTGAAGTCAAACTTGCTGTTTATTATCGTTGAATAACACTGTGTGTGCCCTTGATCTCACTGACGGCTATTCATTCATAAGGTTTATTTTGTGTTGGTATATCTCCAGTAAACATGGCTCATTATTTGGCACATCTCCTTGTCGGGATTTCGGGGTACACTAAGGACTAAAGATCATTCCTTGTCGTAGGAGGCGACTTAATCAATCGCGTGGACATGGTTTGATTGATTGCTGTTGTCGTATCCTGACTGCACTGATCCTTGTACATATGTTTGATTATTTACAGCCCCCGGTCAAATAGCTGGATCGTTGCTGTGTGTGCTGTCAAATAACAAACACACAGTTCAGCTTTGCATGATGGTTAAATGTCAGATGATGAACGAATTTAGCTGCACAGATTGCAGAAAAGACGACCTGACGTTTGGTAGGACATAGTAAAAGAGTATTACATTATTCATCAAAATCACACATTTAATCGTGATTGTCAATTTCTGCACAGCTCCATGTTTTTGAAGTTTCTGTAAATTTATTTTCTAACAGGTATTGTAACAGCCAGACAACTCTCAAAGATGTGGCCACACATATTTCTGTTGTTAATCAGTGAGTACATTTACAATTTGTTATGACCTTTCAATGATCGTCCTATTAATTAAGTATGACTGTCACTTGGAATCGCCACTGGTTTATGAACAACTTCGGAAATCTCACCTGTCACGGCCATTTTTGACGTCAAGTAATTCGTGTACATTTATTATGACGTGCTGTCACTTGGACTAACTTACTGATGAAGTGATTTAAGAGACATTTTTCTTTAAATGGTATTTTTTGGATCTATTTGTTGTAACGAAACTAGGAAAATGTTTTGGCTGGTTGGTTGGTAGGTTGTTGTATGTCTGTCAGTGGGAACATGAAGTCACACATACTGCAAGAAACTGTGTGAAACATCATCAAGGTAAACACCAATGATATATACAATTATGAGCATTTGTTGAGGGTAAAACATATTGCCTATGTGAATATTAACTCACTCACTCACTCACTCACTTATTGCTAGTAAAACATTGTTTGAACAAGTTCGGACGTTCATAGTTTGGCCCCACTCTGAGAAAGTAAAATCTTACTTGTTTGTTGTATAATATGTCACGTATGATTCTATTCCAGCATCAATAGCCAATGGCGATGAGCAATGCCCCTGGGGAAAATATGGCGATAACTGCGACAAGATCTGCCCTTTGACCTGTAACACACACCCTGTGAGAAACCTCCGGCACTGTCTAAAGTACACTGGGAAGTGTTCTGAGGGGTGCGTTCCAGGAGATCATGGCGATCAGTGTAATATTCTTTGCAGCGGAGGCTGTCTGCACAAAACCTGCATTCAAGGAAACGCACAATGCACACAAGGCTGCAGTGGTGCATACAGCGGTGATTATTGCAACATAACTTCAGGTACAGTAGTCTCATGCAGAACCTATTTGTATGAGCTAAATAATCATTATACATTGTGTTTAAATAAATAAAAATAAATGATATAAAAAAACAACGTTCAACAGCCATTTTTTGCATAGGTCGAAATACATGATATACTTGTTAAATCATGGTCCAATGTAGATTCAATAATTAAAGCTCCAAATCAGACCAGAATGCATGTTTCTAAAATGTAACGGGATAATTATTAGCGTTTTATATTTCCATAATGACTGAAACGTATGAAACATGCTGCAAAATGTACAGAACTGCATTAATCAGTTTTCATTGTGCAAACACTTGCTTAACAATTCATGTCAAAATATTAGAATAGTATCCAAAAGTTATAAAGTTCACAAAGGTGTCTTTGCAGTCAGTCCACGCCATGAGGTCATATTCAACACAAATCAAATCAAATATCAAATCACTCTGTACATTTCCCTGAATAGGACAATTGGTTGTGTATTGTATGATTACAAACTTAAATACATGTTAAGAAGTATGGAATTCCTCTTTTTTCAAAATGACAATTATAAGAGTACTGCTCATTTAGCAACTTACACCCATTACGTACATTCATACGTACTTTCTTGTTGTCTGTTATTGTGTTATCATACTTAATACCTGGGTCTCCTTTTAACTAAACCAAACACAGCAAATATACATAAAATGCATATCTGTTATGGTCAATGTGGAAAATCAGTCCATTTGTGAAATGACTGATTCACTCAAATGAATAAATTGGCAGAATATTTGACACATTGACTGAAATTTGTGATTGTAGTAGAAAAGTAAAAACAATCATTTCTAGACGGGTTTTTTTTATAAACAAAGCATTTTGTATGGTACAAACATGTACTATACTTATTTGGTCAAACACTTTGTGTCTGTGAACCATTTATTTGTTTTACATGTGTTTGTGATGTTGGGGCAGGATACAGTCTCCTTCCATGAACACCTGGTATCATTACTGTTGAATATTTATTCATAAGCACATGAATTAGAAGTCGGAATCCTACAGTGGATTCTTCTGTAGCAGATAGATAATATAACTTGTTTGATGGCTATACATTTTGACAGTATATCATTTACTGGGCATGCCATGGTTTTGTACAATTAGGATTAGGATTAGGATCTATTTGCATGGTTTGCACTTCACAGCATTTGAAAATTGTATTAAATGTAAGTTTCAAGAAATACCTTATAAACAAACGCTATAATAACATGTAAATTAGCCAACATACACTCATGGATACATTTTTAACTGACCATGGTTACATATGTATTTCCAATGTCATAAGATTTCCCAAGAAGAATAAGGTAGCTCATCATTGACTCAACGAAGATTGTGCTGTAATGTGAATACTTTAGTTCAACCATAAGCCCTAGCTCCTGGACGTGATAGAGTTATAAAGTGAAACTGAAGCAAATCGTAGACATTACTTACTCGGTAAAACACAGATGCTCGAATCGAAGCCAGGAAGACCTGTTGTAAGGTGTAAAGTGTCGTAGCGTGTACAGTCAATTGCCACGCCCTAGGCTTTTAAATAAAAATAAATAAATATTTGGACCCTCTATCAAAACCTGTTCGCCTTTACACATCAGCACGCTATCAACAGCCATGTTTTCATGCTGGTAGTTTTGTAAAGTTTGAGCTGGAATGTCGTGTCTCCTACCAAGAGTTTGCAAATGTGACATGCGCCAAAATGGTCATTATGATATGCACTGTGAAATCTGTTATTCTTATGCTTTATGGTACATTGAGATACCATTATGTATATCTTTGTATTTGAGAGCGTTGACTGCCATTTCCGGCAAAAGGCTAAAGGGCAGACAGTGGCAATGAAGCGTCTGTTTCTGTAAGTTTCCACTGGTTATGTTATGCTAGTTCCTCTTCATCCGTGTGATCTTGTATAAGAATGAAATCAATAAATATGATTTTTTTAAATGCTTTGCTTCATTAGCATACAGAAATATAATACTGAGCAGCCAAAACATACGAATGCCTGAATGTTTTCCTACAATTGATACAGCTGACTGATCAAAGTGTTTAGTACCATGTCAGTAGAAAATTGAGATAGATATTTTGTTTAGTACTTTATTTAGGTGTTTTCTATGAATGCAATTAGTCATATGCATCTAGGTTGATAAAATACATTATGTTTAGAACTTGAATCCAATCTGCCCAGATGTAATGAGTACTGATACCGTTCCAAAACAATAGTTTAATCTCACCAGGACCAAATGCCTAAGTGGGCATACAGCCGATGACTTTCATTTTTTTCTCAGAGTGAGAATGGTGTTATACCACTTTTAGCAATAACACTTTCAGAGTGGGTGCCCTGAGCAATAAGGTTCACACATTGTACCCATGTTGCGAATCGAACCCGGGCCACCCCACTACCCATAATTTCTCATAACTAACTAGGAATATGAACATGAAATTTAAGGATATCCTCATTCTAGGTTTGATGTTGGTTCATAAAATATGCCTAACAATAAACTATGTATGGAATTGAAAAAATGGCTTCTATAAAAGTAAATGCCTATATATCTCAGCTTTAGGAGGCTTTTTAGAACTGAAATGACACAGAATATAACTACAGCTATCGGATATACCCTGGCTAACCTTATTTACTAGAAGCAAGACATGAACAAAAATTGCATCTGGATATCCTCCTTAAAATTGGTATGATGAACCAACACGCAGGGAATGAATGTAGGTGACACTTATTTTGACAAGCAAAACAGAAAGTAAATACATAATACAACGAGTAGTATAGGTAATGGTGGTTCTGGCTCACTTCCACTGGAGCCGGATTCATATACCTATACTGCTACTACAGATGGAATTTTTTATGCCAAAATGATTATGCGATTCAACGATAGTCATGAGATTGACTCCAGCTCACCAATACCTGGGGCCAATCATTGCTTTAGATGACTCTAAATGGTAATACAATATTCTTTATTATTTTTATCGATAAAGCGATATTCAACATTTTTATTAAGTTCTTCGTTCATTTTACTAGGAGACCAGACTATATAACTACACTCTTTTTGTAAATTGATAAGAAACAATTGATAACCGTATTTGGTTGGTTTGACATCACTGAAATATTAAAAACCTTGTGGTACTTCTCTCCATTGAATAGCTTTCTCCATTATTATATATTTAGGTAAGCATTTGTCTAAATGTGATCAAACGATAGTAAGCAATCTATTTTTAATCTCCAACCAGTTCTTTGGTTTTGGCACGGAATAATTGACGCGCTTGTTGCCTCCCCTGTTCTTTGAACTTTTTTTTCTCGTCTTCGCTAATACCACTGGTCTTACGATATTTTGATCGAATCTCCTGCTTCATTGCGTTGTATTTGGTGAGCTCTGACAGCACTAAACGAAACTCATTCTCGGATATCTTACAATCGGCCATTGCTGTCGAAATATGACCCTCAATGCTGTTCAACTTTGCTTCGGCGAGTACCGAATACTATCGTGTTTTAATGCTTTCTTTTGCAACCTACGAGAAATGAATTTTATCGCTATTCCTGCCAGTCCCGAGACTCCAGCGGTTATTTCCATGCCGAGCACGATAGGCGCGGCGATTATAGTTGATAGTAAACCGATACCCGCTACACCGAGTCCCATGCCAGATACTACAAGAGCGGTGTCAACTCCGTCCAGAGCATTCACGGCTCTGCGATACTTTTTATACAATCCAAGTCTCAACTCCCTATCCTTCCCTATTCGATTTTTTATGTCGCTTATTTAATGTAATCGAAATCCATCAACAGTTTCCATCTTTTCAAATGCTTCATCGAGCGCCGGATATAAACTCATAGTGTATATAACGATCATATAACAGTCTTTAATTGGTCTTGCTTAAATGTTTTGAGACTATACATCAATCTTATCAAATGTATATTATACGGCAAGAATATCTTAGAAAGAGAAATGCTGTCACTTTTAATAATTTGGACCCCCTCGAGGGTTGCAACGGGCGCTGCTCCGATATGAATAATACTGCAACGTTGATGCTCGTGTTTCTTGAGCCATTTAATCGATAGACCTGGTAATATGTCGAAGGCATCTACCGGTGCATCTCCGAACAAGACTTCAATAATAAGCGTGGAACTATTAGGTATTGCACTCAAGTTAACTTTAATATCTTCGAATTCAGTAATCAAATTTAAAGTAACATTTTGGATTGCCGGACGACTATATAACATATGACCTGGGTTTTCTGACAGGGGGGTAACTAACACACTTTTTCATTTTGATGGGATATAAGCCGCGAGTACGATGCCACTATTTATTATCTTAGTTAAATTATGTCCCTTACCCATCATCACATAAGGTGGGGTAATGACGATATTCAGTAGCCACTAGATGTGTGCTTCGACCATAGTCCATTTTTTATCGTCATTGCGAGTAATACTGTACGAAGTGTTTTTAAGGAGTCTACTTACGTCGACATCGCTTAAATCTTCTAGATTACCCGTGAATGTGACTTCTTTCCGCTTGTATACATTATCGTGTAAGTGTAAAGCGTATAATTTACCATCGGTACCGGGTTTATCAAATCCTTCCGTGTCTCCGAGATCGGAAAGCGCAATTGTATTACGTTTTCTTACTGTTCCAGGGCCTGATGCATCAACCATTATTTTTAATATGGAGTGTTACACTTAAGTATCCTATATGTACAGGTTGGTGTTTTACATCTAATACAGAAATTTTAAGGTCTGAAATAATACCCCGCTTTAATTTTTTATATTGTAATGTTGAGAAAGATTCCGTTCTACCGCTATTATATTTTTCATTTTTCACTGGAACACTTCTTAGCAGAGTTGAAGGACTTTCTTGTTGAATATTATCTGTCGTGCTTATTTGATCAAGATGGATGTACAACTCTTTATAGGGAACTAACTCAGGTAAATAGAGTCCCTGATCTCATGTCTTGATAACTGTTATTTCTCCTCCCC